TAATATTATAGATGAAACTTATTAAAAACAAAAAAAAAAAAACAAAAAAAACAAAAGAAGAAAAATAAAATAAAAAAAAAGTAATTGAAAGAAAAGGAACAAAAATATATACAAGAACAAACACCGGCATGTAATGCATAAGATAAGAACGCACGAAAACATTCAAAATATTCAGACCGAGAGTTGCACCACAATTTTTCAACATATGCATATAAAAACATGCAATTATATAAATTATTCTTCAGTTTAATATTACTGAATGTAAATAAACACCGTAAATGGAAAAAAAAAAAAGTAGAAAAGAGTTACCTTTTACTCAAATAAATCATCTCATCAATTTTGTGCATGGATCGTAAAATCAGTTCAAAGATTTTTTACATCGAGTTATTACGATCCTCTTTTTTCATTTTTTTTTTAAATTTGTTATACATAAACGTAGAAAAAAAAGTTTACACAGAAAAATTTTCGGAAAAATTGTTCATTTTTCTCATCGCAAAATATTTAAATATCGGAATCTGCCAGGTCACTATAGTAAAATACTTGCACCATTATTTTTTTTTTTATTTTGTATTCTCGCTCACGGATTCTTTCTTTCTTTTTCCCTGTTTTTTCTCTTAATTAATTAATTCTTGTTTTGTAAAATATGATAATAATAAGAAAAAAAAAATGCAATTTGAAATCAACGATTTGCCAAAATCACGCAGTTCTTTTATCAAAATCACATTTTCATTATGTAACATGTACTTTTGTTTTTTTTTTTTTTTTATTTTGGATATATTATAATAATAACGTATTCAACGTGTTAAAACGAAGCATTTCGTGTCATGAATTTTGATGTAATAAAATGTTAATATAAAAATCAATAATTTACATTAATTTTTTTCATAATTTGATTTTCTTCTATTTATATTTTTTAGAAAAAAATAAAAACTGACATATTGTAAATTTTGAAAGTAAATCTTGTATAATATTTTCATTTTTTTAAAATAATTATGTTTAATAATAATGTTTGTAAGATTTATTGAAATCATGGTCATCAATTTTTAAATTCATCACTTTAAAATGAATATTTTATTAATATTTTTTTTTAGATAATATTTTGTATGTATTTATAATTAAATATTATAAAGAAAGTGGAGAAAATATAGAGAAATAAAGATAAAGAGAAAAAAAAGAAAGATAGAAAGAGGAAGACGAATCAAATTTTTAAGTACATAATTTTTCTTGTGACAATCTTCTGATATTTTCGATATTTTTCAATAGATCTCACAAACAGTACATTTAAAAGTTACTTTCTCAAGACTTTAAATCAACATATATTAATTATTATATCTTTGTAACAAAAAAACATCAAATCTAAGTTACATGTTAGCAATGAATAGAAATTTTAATTATTCCGCTTTTAGAATATATCTAAATAATCGAATATTATACTTTTTTTTTAATTTCAACTTTATACATTATATCTATGTAAGATAATTTGATGTTCTGCAGCTATTTACAATAGATCGCATGTATATCTTTAATAGCTGCATGTGCAATATATCATATATATTCTTTTAATTAATAAAATTTTAATGCATCATTCACATTTTCACTTAAAAACACACGCAATTATTTGTATTCTTTATGTATCACGTAACTGTTACTTTGAATATGAGACCACTTTTTTTTATTACAAAATTTTTTTATATAAAAAAAATTTCTTTATATTATTTTAATGCTTTTCTTTGAATGCTGTTCAATCAATCTGTGGGCACCATTTATAATTTTTTTTTCTCTTAAAATGTAAATAATTCAATAATAGATTAATATATATTAGATATATGAGTTAATCGAAAATAAATAATTCATTGAATTGCCAGCAGATTGACTTGGAATATTCAAATATTCCTCTTATATCCCTCTTTCCTGGCAGTGCTAAACTTTATTTCATAAAAAGCAAAGATTAATTTGTATAAAAATATATATAAATTCATATAGAAAAGGAATAGTATGTATTGCAAGTAAATAAACTTACAAAATAAATAAGTTAAACAAGTATTTCTTATTTTCATTTTGTTAAGGAAGGATCATAGAAAGTTTATAAAGATTATATTAAAAAAATTATATATTATATATTGATTGAGTATATTATAGAAATCTTAATTGTAATTTGAGCTTTTTTAGTTGCAAAATTTATTTTCACTTAAAAAAAAATCAATATACAAATTGCTAAATATACATGGTTTACAGATCTATGATCCAACCTTTATTCTCGATATATATATTAATTATTATGTAAATCATAACATATGTGAGTTACAACAAGAACATAGTTATTAATATTCACAGTAAAGAGATCAGAAAGTCTCCTAGTCCAAAGAAATGTACAATTAAAATTTGTAGAAGGACAAGGTAATTAACATTGTCCTTAGACAAATCATCATTTCGATGTTTGATTTTATATGAAAAACTGTTATTATTTCCTTGTTAAATAACGATTGTCAATGAGCTTAAGCCAGATGGGCAGCAAAAACGCAGCATTTTGAAATTGTAAGTTAGTTTTGCCTATATAAGAAAAATGATGTAAGAGAAATGTAAGAAAAATTTTACTATAAAGATTGCTACTATCCCAGAAGTACATTAATATTAAAATTTAGTTAATTATAGAATAACTTTGTATTATGCATGATATTATATAAAAACACTATATATTGCACATTCCTAATTTTAATTTTGAACTTATTAGTCAAATATTTGAATAAAAATGTATATGTTATTGATCAAATTACTTATTTTCAATATAAAATAAATGCATACATTTTTCACATCTTTGGCTTTAATATTAAGATTATTTTAATTTTGGATACAAAATAGTTAATTTTTTCTTTTTATAATATCAAATTTATATATTTTTTTAGATGCACTTTATAAAATATCATTTCTAAAAACATTGTGATCACTCCTGGGTTAGAAATATATATTTTAATTTGGATTATCCTTGTGCGCATAAGATTATGTATTAACCATAAAAAAAAAAAAGATAAAAATGATAAAAAAGAAAAAAGAAAAGAAGCGAAAACGAATATTCCAATGATCACAGAAATCTGTTCCTAACAGGTACATTCATGTGCTTTTGTTGAATTATGTGCCCATCTTTGTAAACTAGGAACTAACAGTTTTCACTTATTTAGCATTATACTTATTTTATATATTGATACTCTGTCAATCAATTGTTTTTATATTAATGCTGCAATCACCTGAAATATTATAATGAATTTTTACTGGTCCAGTTTGCCAATCTGATTGCCATATTCTCATTCAATTTCTCTCTCTAATAATACTGCCTAAATATATTATCATGTCGATATGATACTATTCAAGAGACTTTGTTTATTTTATTATAAAGTTACTCTTCATATTATTGCTATTATTATTGGGTCATTCAGGATTTATAGTACCTGAACACATTCATTTCTTAAGTTGAATTACTTAATTTTAACGTCATGGACCATTATATGAATCATATCAAATGCATCTGGTACAATGTAGCTATCATGACCCTAAGTAATTTTTTAAAATTTTTGGACCCAAATATTTGAAATGTGATTGGCATCTTGGAACTTTATACAAATATTCACATATATAATGATAGATAATCCAGAAAACAAAAAGCCATGGATAAGAAAACTTTTATATCATAGAATACATCAACTAATGCTTAGAATGAAGGTACTATAAACTGCCATTTGTTGAATAATAATCTTATATCTCATGTTAGATTACAATGTCATCACAGTGTTTTGATGTACATAGCTAATTATTTAACTTATATAAATAATTGATAATTTTCCATTGATAATGTCATTTATAGAAAATTATCGATTAAAATATATGGCAGTTTATGAGCATTTTATATATGCTACAAACGGTTTTCAGTAGAAACATTGTGCTCTTTTCCTTTTTTTTTTCTTCTTTTTTTTTTGTTTTTTGTTTTTTTGTTTTTTTTTTTTTTTTTTTGTTTTTTTACTTTATCATTACTTTAAAAATTTA